TGACCTTAGATTGATGAATAATCTTTCTGCCACTGGAAAGTTTCTCCTCACTTAATTTATTCAAACTTTTCACAATTTGAAAATCTCAATTACATTTTCCCTTCATCTTTCTACTCCAAGGCTAACAGCGCTACTGTCCCTCCACATAAGAAATCTCACATCCCTCTTGCCATTCTAATCAGTTTCCTCTTCAGCCTCTCCAAGTCCTTGATCCCCTTTCTACGATGTAGTGTTCAGAGCTAAACTGAATATTGCAGCTGAAGTGTAAACAATATTTCACAAATATTTGTAATAGGTATTGGATTTACAATCATATTTATTTTTATCTCTATTAATAAGGCCAGTGATCCTATTTATTATTTGAATTCACATAGCACGTTTCACAATTTTGCAACATCCTAAAGCACTTTCTTGAATTTTAAGGCATTGTTCTAATAAGGAATGTTTGATAAGTTCAGTTGGAAGCTGTGAACAACTGTTAAGGCAAATATAGCCAGTGGAATCCACAGCATTTGTTGCTAGGCATACAAATTCCATAGAAGTGCACAAGGCAAGTTAAGAGGTGTTTGAAGTTGCAAGAGAAAAAGAACTATAAAATTGACACCCGAGAAAGAAAAAGTCAGTATTTTGACAAATGGATCAGAACTGAAAAGCTACAAGATCTTTTCTAGTGAGCAACATGCTGGGTAGCAGAAAGAGGGGTCAGCCTCAGCACAGTTGGATGACAGATGGCACAGAATAGTTGCAGGCAAGCTACAATGGATGAGAGAGAGTTTGGCACAAGGCAGATGAGTGTGACGTATCATAATACAGATCTCTTGGCCGGAGTAGCTCTAAAGCAGCCTTTTTTAAAAACTTAAAATATTCTTTAAAGTCATGTTTTAAGTATTCAGGAATTTAACTTACTGATAGAAAAACACAAGATGAAATAACTGAAATATTATATTGACTTTTTTTTTTAAAATGTACATTCTACAGATTAAATAGTCATGAGAACTACAGGGCAGAGGACTAGAATTTGGGTAATTATCGCCATGGAATTGTAGATACTACCAAAGTCAGAAAGCAGTTTAAGACAACCATAATATAACTGCATTCTAAATTAGACTTGCAAGATAAAAATCTAGTAGTATTATAATTTTCAAGAAGGCAAACTTGAAAAGGAATGGGGATAATCTAAGAGTAATGAACTATTTAGCACGATCAGAAATCGGATATAGGTAAGTTAGACGAAATACATCAAAATACAATGTGGTGTACCATCAAGATGTTATGATTAAATGTTGACATTAGAAACGTTCATGTGCTTAACATGTGTTTTAATAATCAAGATAGAAAGATATTGCATATGCTTTGTTCCTAGTTCCTTTGTATTTATTCTTTCAGTAACTTATGTCCCTTGTTTCCTCAGTGCTGTGACCAAGAGATCAAAGTCACTATCAACACAGGCTGCCAACAGAACACAATCTCTGCCAGTTGCTTGAGCAGAATAGGGTAAGCTATCAGTTAGCAGATGAACCACTCTAATTTAAATTAGGAATGGATTTTCAAAGATGATTAACCTGAAGATCTGCACCCTGAGAGTAGGTGCCATTTAGATCACAAGGCAGAAAATGACAATTATGTTATTTTAATCAAGTACCATCAGCTGGCTGTTAGCTAACTGAATTACTTGTAATAGAACCTTGATTAATTATTAATCATTTTATTATAGACTGCACTGCAAACTTGCTGAACTTCCTGATTATCCACACCAGTCACGTTTTAGATTGCTGACTATGCTTCCATGTAATTCATTCTGAAGCCAAATGGTAAAATAGGAGAGCAGGTGCCAATCTTTTACCTAAAAAATTTATTTGCAGAATGCAACAATACATATATCTGCCTCTTCCATCACCACCATGCAGTGTCCCAGAGGTCTCTCTTTATGACTTCTGTTAGGGAATCCATTAGGACTGAGTGTAATTTGCTTTCACTCATTTCCTTGGTTTTAAGATCGCTGACAAGTCCAATGTGAGATTCAGTTATTTTAATCTACTTATTCAGACATCCAGTACAGATGGGACTTGAACCCAGATCTACTACCTCAGAGGGAACCGGTACATGGTTACCACTTTGCCACAAGATCCCTCCAATGAGAGATTGGCATATTTTTAATCAGCCTGTTCAACAGTATTGTTACACACCTCTGGAACTTGAATCTTGGCCTCCTGGCTTAGGAGGTAAGAACATTATCACTGTGCCACAAGATTCCCTCCAATGTGGAGCAGGTGGTGCTTGAGAGGTTGGTTCGGGTTGTTTAGTGCTCTATACACACCTTCTGATCCCTTGTTCTTCTGCACATTCCTGACAATTCTCTTGACGTATTTGGTGCCTTTCCAGGTCAGCCTTTTCTACTTTGATCCATTACACATTGGAGACAATGATGAATTTGGTCACCTATATCTGCCTTTATCAAAAAAAAAGGTTCCCAATATATGGACAAATCACAGATTTATTATGGTGCATAAAGAGGCCATTCAGCATATCCATTGTGGCTGCACCAATTCTATTGTCTAGCATTAATCTCACACTTTTCCCCCCCCCCCCCCCAAAATCTCTGCACACCATTACTGTCCAAATAACCATCCAAAGGCCCCCTGAATGCCTCAATTGAACTTATCTCTACCAGGTTTCCAAGCTGTGCATTCCACATGCTAACTACTCGCTGTGAGAAAGCTCTCTCATGTTTCCCTTGCTTCATTTGCACATCACTTTAAATTAATATCCTCTTGTTCTTTTTTCTTTTATGGGTGGAAACAGCTTCACCCTATTTACTCTGTCCAGCCTGCTGATGATTTTGAAATCTTCTATGAGATCTCCACTCAGCTTTCTTTTCTCTAGAGAAAACTGTCTCAAATTCAATCCATCTTCCTTGCTGAGTTCCTCATATTAGAACCATTCTAGTGAACCCACTTCTGTATTCTCTCCAATAGATTTACATCTTTTCTATAATTCCCACAACTGTCCATAATACTCCAGCTGAGATCTAAAAAGTATAGTGTACGAGTTCAATATCACCTCCTTATTCTTGTACTCTATGACCCTATTCATAAAACCAAGAACACTGTACTTTATTTACTGCTCTGTCCTAGCACATTGAATGATCTGTGCACGTTAACACACAGATCCCTCTATTCCTGCACCACCTTTGGAATTGTAACCCAAGTTTTATGTTGTCTGTCAGTATTCTTCCGACCAAAGTGCATCACCTCACACATCTGCTGCCTATCTGCTCACTCCACCAATTTGTCAGTGTGTTTTTGAAGTGCCACATTATCCTCACTGTTTACAATTCTTCCAAGTTTGGTGTGATCTACCAACTTGGAGGTTGTCCCTTGCACAACAAGATCCAGATCATTAGCATATATAAAGGAAAAACAAGAGTCCCAATACTGATCCTTGGGGAACTTCACTATAAACCTTCACACAGCATTAAAAAAAAAAAGTCCCATTGGCCATTACTCACTGCTTTCTATCACTCAGACAATTATCCATGTTGCCAGTGTTCCTTTTATACTGTGATCAACAACATTCCTGATAAATCTGTTATGAGATACTGTATTAAAGCATTAACACTATCAACCTTTCATCACCTCTTCAAAAACTTCCAGCAAGTTAGTCAAGCATAATTTACCAATCCAAGCTGGCTCTTCTTAATCAGTGTACCTATCTCCATGTGACTACTAAGTCTATCCCAAATAATTGCATTTTTATATATGCTGATGGTTAATCAGGCAATGCCCATCAACTGTGTATCTTTAATCTTAATAATACAATTAACATACTTTGAGTATTGCTTAAAAAAAGACACATTTTGTCAATGTTTTTTGTTTTGCACTCATCAGGACAATCACCATGTAGAGAGAAAACAACATTTGCATTGTGAAGGGAGAGTGCTGTGATTATTGATTGATAAGTGGACTCTAATTGATAGAGGTGTTGCCAGTGAGAATATACCTGTTATGTGATGACTGATAGTTAGCTGTCAAGTTTTATTTACATTTTAAATCAGGCAGCTTGACTCTGATTGCTAAAGGTGTGCCCTGAGAAATGAATCAGAGAATGGCTATTGTATTACATCTCAACGTTAGTATGACAGTATACTTTTTAGAGTCATGTTTATAATATCATGAGTGCACGGGACATGAGACTGTAAAAGTCTTGTACTCCATCTTACCTGGAGCCCATATGATGCACGATATGTTATTGAAAACTTGCTCTCTGTTGTAACCTACTAGCTTAATGTCGCCCCAGACACTGATGCGCCTGTGAGTATAAGGTTCGTACATAATTGTAACCTGTAATAATTGTTAGATTCTTCAATCCATGCCCAGTTAGTTATATTATGAAGAATAACCTGAGCATGGCCATATAGGGTAAAACAGTCTGCTGGAGGAAACCTCACATTGACTGTCATCTATTCATAAGAACAGAAGAACTGGCAACAGGAGTAGGCAGTTCAGCCCCTCGAGCCTACTCCACCATTCAGTACAGTCATGGCTGATCACATCTTGGTCTCAACTCCATTTTCCTGCCTGCTTCCCATAACCCTTCAACCTGTTATTAATTAAAAATCTGTCTATCTCCTCAAATTTACTCAATGTCCCAGCATCCACCACACTCTGGGTAGCAAATTCCACAGATTCATGACCCTCTGAGAGAAGTAATTCTTCCTCATCTCTGTTTTATATCTGCTATCCCTTGTTGCAGAACTGTGACCTCTTGTTCTAGATTGCCCAAATGAGAAATATCCTCTCTTGTCTACTTTGTCAATCCCCTTTTGTACTTATATACCTCAATTAGGTCTCCTCTCATTCTTCTAAACTTGAGAGAGTATAGTCCTAAACTGTTTAATCTGAAACGAGGAATTAAGACGGCTAAAAGGGGTCATGAAATATCTTTAGCAAACAGGGTTAAGGAAAATCCCAAAGCCTTTTATTCATACATAAGGAGCAAGAGGGTAACTAGAGAAAGGGTTGGTCCACTCAAGGACAAAGGAGGGAAGTTATGCGAGGAGTCAGAGAAAATGAGTGAGATTCTTAATGAGTACTTTGCGACGGTATTTACCGAGGAGAGGGACATGACGGATGTTGAGGTTAGGGATAGATGTTTGATTACTCCAGGTCAAGTCGACAGGAGCGGGGGAAGTGTTGGGTATTCTAATAGGCATTAGGGTGGACAAGTCCCCGGGTCCGGATGGGATCTATCCCAGGTTACAGATGGAAGCGAGAGAGGAAATAGCTGGGGCCTTAACAGATATCTTTGCAGCATCCTTGAGCACGGGTGATGTCCCGGAGGACTGGAGAATTGCTAATGTTGTCCCCTTGTTTAAGAAGGGTAACAAGGATAATCCAGGTAATTATAGACCGGTGAGCCTGACGTCTGTCTTGGGGAAGCTGCTGGAGAAGATACTGAGGGATAGGATCTATTTACATTTGGAAGAAAATGGGCTTATTGGTGATAGGCAGCATGGTTTTGTGCAGGGAAGGTCATGTCTTACCAACTTGATAGAATTCTTTGAGGAAGTGACAAAGTTGATAGATGAGGGAAGGGCTGTAGATGTCATATACATGGACTTCAGTAAGGTGTTTGATAAGGTTTCCCATGGTAGGCTGATGGAGAAAGTGAAGTCGCATGGGGTCCCGGGTGTACTAGCTAGATGGATAAGAGCTGGCTGGGCAACAGGAGACAGCGAGTTGTAGTGGAAGGGAGTTTCTCAAAATGGAGAACTGTGACCAGTGGTGTTCCACAGGGATCCGTGTTGGGACCACTTTTGTTTGTGATATACATAAATGATCTGGAGGAAGGTAAAGATGGTCTGATTAGTAAGTTTGCAGATGACACTAAGATTGATGGAGGAGCAGATAGAGAAGGGGACTGTCGGAGAATGCAGCAGAATATAGATAGATTGGAGAGTTGGGCGGTGAAATGGCAGATGGAGTTCAATCCAGGCAAATGCGAGGTGATGCATTTTGGAAGATCCAGTTCAAGAGCGAACTATACGGTAAATGGAAAAGCCCTGGGGAAAATTGATGCACAGAGAGATCTGGGTGTTCAGGTCCATTGTACCCTGAAGGTGCCAAGAGTGGTCAAGAAGGCATATGGCATGCTTTCATACATCGGACGGGGCATTGAGTACAAGAGTTGGCAGGTCATGTTACAGTTGTATAGGACTTTGGTTCGACACATTTGGAATACTGTGTACAGTTCTGGTCACCACATTACCAAAAAGATGTGGATGCTTTGGAGGGGGTGCAGAGAAGGTTCACCAGGATGTTGCCTGGTATGGAGGGCGCTAGCTATGAAGAGAGGTTGAGTAGATTAGGATTATTTACATTAGAAAGACAGAGGTTGACAGGGGACCTGATTGAGATCTACAAAATAATGAGAGGTATAGACAGGGTGGATAGCAAGAAGCTTTTTCCCAGAGTGGGGGACTCAATTACTAGGGG